CCAATATCTCCCAACGCTTTGGCCATTCACCCAAGCATGCCCCTTACCCATACCACTAAATCCACAACAACAGGGTCTGTTCCCAAAGGAGCATTGAAGGTTGTCTGATGAAAAAAGGAAACTTCAAAAATTAAAATTTGCTTTGAAATGAGACTTGTAATGAAACTGCAGGAATATGCAGGTAACCATGGTAGAAGTAGAACAATGAAAGCATACCTTGTTCCAAGTCATCATTGTGTTTGCAGGAAGAGTTTCTCTGTTTCTGTGTGCCACTTAATACTCAGACTTGACAAATCACTGTAAATTTTATGATGCTCACCATTCAAGCTAACCTTATACTTCCACTCGTTTGATGAAAGATCCATAACTATTTCCTCATTTTTCTTCTTTCCAATCAAGTTAACTGGACCAAATGTCCCAGAACAGGTACAGTACCGAAGTGGCCCCCATAATTCTACTCACAAAAAGTTGCAGAATGCAGAAAAAAATAAATAAATTTTTTGGGTTTCAGAAGGGTTTTTGAGTAGACAGTCCAACAAGAATTTTCCAGGAAAAGAAGTACCAGTAATCTAACTGTAGCACTAAGCAATGAGATTTGATTGTTTCGCCAGGAATCAACTCAACCTTTTGCTCAAAGACGAAGTTATAACGTCCATGTTGAGCCCATTGGCATCCTAAGTTGAACCAAACGAAATTAAATAATAGAAGAAGAAGAAAAGATGGAGGCTCCATCATGGAGCCACTTTTCAACAAACATCTGGTTAACAAAGCAAGGACTGAAATTACCTATATACTTTCCATTGAAATAAGCATTAAGGACACGACCACTAGTATTCACCCGGAGAACTTTATCCTCAGTGCACCAAAGAGGATCATTATCATCAAGCTTTAGGCTGTGGCGTCCAAACATGAAACATGAAGTTATTAAATAAAAGATCAAATCAACCATTCCTTTAACAAGAATTTCAGAAAACACATTTAAGCAATAGACCTTGTCATGTACCACAAGTAGTCACTTGCATCACTAGTTACCGACTTTTGCTCCCTAAGGCCTTTAGCAGAAATAAAACCCTTGCCTTCAGCAGCAGTATCTCTAATGTCTTCAGCCCTCCATACCCATTTAAGGGCCTAACAGACTGTAGACTTCTTGGCAGTACTGTAGACTTCTTGCTTGCAATCAGAAAGAATGCTAACAGACCAAGCTGGCAGAGAATATTGTTGGCCATGGAAGACGATGGTAAGCACAATGAGTGAATACGTAATAGTTGTGTAACACATGTCCCAGTTACAGTTAATGTGCCGTTGGGTTGGGAATTGGGACTCATTTACGATGCCTTTCATTATCTTGTTATCTTTATCAAAATCATTAAAAATAAAAACAATGAAAAAAGAAATTGGAATTGAGATTCATTTACGTTTTTCTTTTTCATTATTTTTTATTTTTAATTATTTTAACAAAAATAACAAAATAATGGATAATTAGATAAAGTAAAAATGTTTGAATGAAAAATACATTAACTGGGATAAGTGGGCTGGATGCAGAGAGAAACCCTGCATTTTTTATACACCATGACATTTTTTATACACCATAAGCCCCTGAATCATGATTAATAAGTTTTATTGAGCACTTGGTGTGTATTCTCAACATCTAAGGCAATACCCGAATGGAACAGAACAGCCATGATGAAAGTCACGGCGGGTAATAAATTAGCTAAAGCACATCCCATGGTTGGCGTGGAATATTTGAGCCCAGTAAAATAGAGGCACTGGGTCCCGGCTATCCTGCAAATGCAAGCAAATTACCAATCTTAATTTCAAAAGAAAAACAAAAAACAAGATCCAACGTACATTAGTCATCCACGTAGATTTTTCCAAATTATCCTTTTTTTAAGTGGGTGAAATTGATAAAACCGTACCACGTCCAACTGAAAAAATCCCACAGAAAAGCATATGAAAAAAATAAATAAATATATAAATATAAATTGTAAAAAAACATATAAAATTGTAGTAAAATACAAGAATGCAAAAATATACAAATTTTACATAAATAGAAATTGCATAAAACACGAAAAATATACAAAAAGCAAAAATTGCAAATAAATAACCAAAAATCCAAGAAAGTGTAAAAAATCAGAGAAAAGAGCAAAAGGTATGAAAATGTAGGAAAGCTACAAAAATTAATAGAAATTTTAAAAAATTGCAGAAAACATTCTGAAAAACCAGAGCATAGAGACATGGAAAATGGTAAAAAATATATATACTTTATATATTAGTAAAAATTATAGAAAAGACATAGAAAATTAAATAAAATTATATTTAGAAATAATAAAAAACATAGAAAATGATAAAACTTTCAAAAGAAATTACAGCTGATTAAATAACAAAAATTGCAAAGAAAAATAAAGAAGCAGGAAAGAAAATATTAATTATATATACCTCTCCCACAGAAATAGAAGAATGGACAGATTATAATGCATGGACGCCGATAAGTAACCGTGACAAGAAGGTTCTTGCCGGAATCTATGGCCATCTTGCTGAGAATGTTCGTTCCAGCATAGCCCATTTGAACCATGATCATGGCTATGCAGGGCAAGAACTCTCTTATCATCTTGAAGAGACGGAAAGAAAGACTTGGCCGGCCGAGAAAAACTGAAGAGGGAAGAGTGTGTGAGAATTGAGAAGGAGAGGATGGGAATCCGAGTGAGAGGGAGGGATGATATTTATAGGAAGTAATATGCTAGAATTAAGTGCGGATTAAGTAGAGATTAAGTACGGATTAAGTAAAGTACAGGTTAAGTACGGATTAAGAAGAGTTTACAGATTAAGTACATGTTCACGGAGCGCGTGAACTGAGAAGTATCTGTTCCAATGCATGGTAGGATGTGCGTGTGAGTCGCTCATGTGTGAGGAATAGATCCGTTCTCTTTGCATGTGCATTGCGGCCCAGCACAGCCCGGCATGATGGTCCGCGGGCCATGTCAGGCCTGACACGATTATGTGGGCTGTGTTGGACCTGGGGTTTTAGGTCCACAGGTTGGCATAACATGATATGACCGAGTGGGCCGTGCCTCCTGCGACCGAGTGGGCCGTGCCTCCTGCGACGTAGCCCGGCCCAGCACAATCCATATATATTATTTATATATATTTTATACGTATTTATATAATATTATATAAATTATAATTATATAATGATATATAGTATATAATATATTAATAAAATAAATATTTTTTTTAATTTTATTATACTAATTTATTTAATTATTGTATATATATGCAATTGTATACATAAAACTAGAGGTGTAAATCGGACCGGGCCATCGGCGGCCCGACATGAAATTGGACACGCCCGACACAACAGCCTCGTCATGCTGGGCCAGGGGTTTGTAGTCCACGGGCCGTCATGGCTTGTAGGGCTTGTAGCGGGCCGCATTTGGCCTGTCTAAAAACTAGTCGTCCCCCCGTCCCCCCCCCCCCCCACTCAGGATACACATTGTTTTTTGGGGGTTTTTTACATAAATACCCATAGCTATAAACGACTATATAGGGGGTATTTATGTATTTTGCTTATAGAGGGGAGAAAAATGACATAAATGCCCCCAATAACTATATAACAACTAGTTTAGGGGGGCTTTTTAGGTAAAGTTATAAAAAAATTTACAATGACCAAAATACCCCACTTAACGACTAAAAAATAACTAGTTTGTAGTATTTTGGGCAATTGAATTATGTTCAATTCCTATAAATAGCCCTATCCTCCACCAATCTTATCATACCAATTCAACATTTGTCTTAATCTCTTCTCTCTCTCTCTCTCTCTCTCATACTCATACATTCTCAATTCTCTACAATCAGAGCAATTCTGATCGGCTAATTCTTTGATTCTCCAACTTTATTGAAGTTTCAACTTTTAGTTTTACACTTTTATTTACAAAGAAATCAAAATTTTCAAAAAAAACAAAAAAAAATCAAAAAGATCAGTCTAGCCCAGTTCTGCCCAGGCCCAGGGCTCGCCCTGTGGCCTAGCCCGGCACGGCCCAAGCCACAGTCCCGCATGGGCCGAGGCCATGGGCCATGCCAGGCCAACCCCCAAAATTTTCACTAGGGAGGGCGGCACGGCCCACACTTTATACCTCTACATAAAATTCATATAAAATTAAAATCCTAAGTTTTTTGTCAATATTTTTAAATAAATAGCTTTGGCCCGATGCATGGCCCGATTTGGCCCAAGGCTCGGCCCACTGGTCAACCTGGCCCGCAACACAGCAGGGGCTCACACGAGCCTGACTGTGGGCCGTGCCGGGCCAATCCCCTAATTTTTCACTAGGGAGGGCGGCACAACCCGTAGCTAGGGGTGAGCATTCAGTTTAAAATCGAATTAAAAAAATAAAAACCGAAATAGAAACCAAAATTATATATATTATAAAATATATATTATGAAATCAAATTTCAGTATATTATATATTAATATATAAATATATAATATATTATATATTATATGTTATATATTATATATTATATATTATATATTATATATTATATATTATATATTATATATTATATATTATATATTATATATTATATATTATATATTATATATTACATATAATAATAAAAAGTTTGATTAATTCAGTTAATCGAAATTCTAATATCAAAAACTAAAACCGAAAACCGAAAACCGAAATAGCCAAATACTAAAAAAGCGAACCAATTTATCCAAAAACCGAAAAAACCGAAACCGAAATTTTCGATTCGATTATTCGGTTTTAACCGAATAATGCTCACCCCTACCGTAGCGGCCCGCGGCCGGCGCCACTTTACACCTGCACACGTCCGGAGGAGAGATGCATGGATGGTTGTTTGTTTGATACGTGTCTATATACGTGTCCAGTGTACGGACATTTTGTTCACACGTGTCGGATCTGAGAGTCTCGACCGCGACGACCGGTTGTTTGCCTTCGACACTTGAAGGATTTCATAAACATCAACCACGCAGAAGAACGCCTGAACCAGTGAAAAGGAACACAATAACAGACTGTCACAACTCGACCGAGTGTTTTGATTTGCAGCGTTCGACGGAGAGGTTTAATCCAACAACCAGGACGACCATGGCGTCTAGGCAAGTTAAGCAAGACCGGTCTGATGCTGTTGCAAGGGCGGCAGCTTCCAAGCTCACAGATTCTGATAGAAGGGATCCTGACTTCGAAGAAGTAGATGTGACGGTGTCAGACAAACCACAACAGCACCGAACGGGCGTTCTCGGAACCCTTCAAGAGGGCACCGTGTCCGTCCTGAAGGCCGTGCAAGGTACTTACGAGCAAGCGAAAGCAGCTGTCACCGGAAAAACTCAGGAAGCGGTCGACAGGACGAGAGAAGGTGCAAACGTTGTGGCTGAACAAGCGAGGGAGACTAAAGAATCCGTGGCTGGAAAGACGGGTGAATACAAAGATTACACGGCCGAGAAAGCAAAGGAAGGGAGGGACAAGATGGGTGAATATACTAACTACACGGAGGATAAGGCCAAAGAGTGGAAGGACTCGACCATGTCGACGATGGGAGAGTATAAAGATTCTGCTGCAGAGAAGGCGAGGGAGACAAATGACTCGGCGGCCATGAAGAAGATGGGCGAGTACAAGGACTATGCCGCCGATAAAGCTAGGCAGGGCAAGGACGCCACCATTGAGAAGATGGGTGAGTACAAGGACTATGCTGCAGATAAGGCAAGGCAGGGCAAGGACGTCGCCGTGGAGAAGATGGGCGAGCACAGGGATTATGCTGCGGACAAGGCGAAGCAGGGCAAGGACGTCGCCGTGGAGAAGATGGGCGAGTACAAGGATTATGCTGTAGACAAGGCGAAACAGGGCAAGGACATCGCCGTGGAGAAGATGGGCGAATACAAGGATTATGCTGTAGACAAAGCGAAGCAGGGCAAGGACGCAACCATGCAGAAGATGGGTCTGTATAAGGACTACACTGCTGATAAGGCAAAGCAAGGGAAAGATGCGACAATGGAGAAGTTGTGTGAGTACAAGGACTACACTGCCGATAAGGCCAAGCAGGGGAAAGATGCGACAATGGAGAAGGCGGGTGAGTACAAGGACTATACTGCTGAGAAGACCAAGCCGGGAAAAGATGCGACAATGGAGAAGATGGGTGAGTACAAGGACCATACTGCTGAGAAGGCCAAGCAGGGGAAAGATGCAACAATGGAGAAGATGGGTGAGTA